AACAGAAAACATTGGTAAAAGAAATAAAAAAAATGTAAAAAAACAAATAAAATACAAAAAATAATAAAAAAAATAAAAAAAAAAAAAAAAAAAAAAATCAGTTTTTTCTTTTTGCCAATTTTGTATTTGAGTGATCATTAAGAAGAGTTTTTAATAAAATTGTTTAAATATAAAAATGATTGTTCTATTTATTACAATTATATTATTACAATTAGAACACATATACTTATCTTTATGATCTCTATAATATAAAGCTAAAATTCTATTAGCTTCTGCCTTATTCAACATATTCTTGATTATTTTTTTCTAAATTGTTATAGAAACACCTTTGCAAATTTTTATAATACACTGTTTGCTTAAATTTTAAATTAATCTACTATTCATTTCTTATAAACTTCATCTTTAATAAAAAATCTTAAATATTTTGATTATTTTTGATTAAATTTAATATAATATAGGCCACTTGAAGAGTTTTTAGTTGCTCTTTTTCATTTATCAAATTTAATTGGCAATTTTTAAAAAAACAAAAATAAAAAGTACTTTAAAACGGTTTAAAACGTATAAAAAGTTAAAAAAAAATTTTTATTCAATTGCGCCGATCATTACCAAATCAGGGTTTGTGCACCATGCTCTTGGAGTAGTTCATCATCCCCCTTCAATCACGTGCAATAAACAGATTTTGATTGGCCATCCAGTGAATACAATTACGATTATAAAAATAAAAAAGTAGTAAATGGGCTGGCAAAACTTTCCGTTATATAGTATACAATGACTTTATCGAATCTTTATAACCATTTTGAATTTTATTAAAAATTCGATACTTCGTAATTGGTCGTGAATCCGGTCTGAGTGTCCATTATACGTACCGATAGCGATAGTACAAAAAAAACATTCGCGTAACAAAGTAATTGGCTGGCTTGTAATATAATCATCACATGATCAGTATTGAAAAGGTAGATGCATCGACAATTATAAGTTTCGAGCCACAGCTACATTAATGACATTAATGTGATTATAACAAAATATCCACTATGAAATTTACTCAAATTTATTAACGTCAATCTCTGAAATTCTCAAAACCGTATAGGTCTGTTTATGCGTGATCCGTCTCCTATGTCGATTTCTCGGTTTCTTTTTAAATATTTGAATAAATGGACCTTTAGGTTGTTCAAGTACTGTAGCTTTTATGTTATAAAATGCTTCAGAAACAAAAGGTTGCCCCTTGATTGTGTAATCCTCGGATCCTAATTCGAGCACCCGATTTAATCTTAATTCATCTCCAACGTTCACGTCACGCAACCTATGTGCAATCACTATATCGTTTTTGGTGACTAAAAATGTTTGAGATCGAATATCTACTACAGCATAGAAACGTAATTGATCTCTTAATTTATTGACTGCTTCTTTTGTCGAGTCAGTAAAACCCTTTGGTAAACGTAGCGATGGTAATTTCTCTGAGGTGTTTGAAAGAGGCAAAGCTTTAAATTGCGTTTTTGGTTTTACTGTTTCACTTAATGAATGAGTAAACCTCTGGCGAAACAACGAAACCCTAGAGAAAGACGAAATCCCTGGAGAAATGAAATTCCTAGCGAACTGATGAAGCCCCTTGATATTTATAGGAACTATTTGAAACAAACTCATTTTCGCATCAATAATATGAATCCAGATAGACCAAAACAACAAAATGTTAAAGAGCATCAAATAATTGAAGAACAACAAACTGTTAAAAAAAACAGAATTTTAGAAAAGTGTTGAAAAAATAAACCCTTAAGAAATAACATTTATTAATTTTGAATCTATATATAAAGAAAAATCTCAAAGTTAAACTGATAATCTTATAAAATCTCGCACGTGGCTGCGACGGTTGTCCTACACCATAATAAAATTTGTACATTTGTACATCAAATCTTCCGTTAATTCTTAGAATATAAATATGAAAAATAGAGGTAAAGGCAGAAGTAAAAAAAGTAATCATAATAAAAATAAAAACAAGAACAAGTCAGAAAAAACAAATTCTAGAAAATCTCATAAGATGGACCCCGCTGACACGTTGAAAGGTATTATTCGTTTATCTTTATCATAAGCTCTTATATCAACGTTTGCTAACTCGATCTCTCCGATTAAACAGCCAACGACGATTTGGAAAATGGATCGCCTAACGATGATATTGAAATATGCCCTCACCTTAAGGAGGCGGTAAGAATAAAAAAACTCAAAAGAAACATCAGGAATTTTGCGGACGCGCAGTGTAGGGTATGTAAAATTACCTTCAAAAGAATTGACCTATTTGTTTGGCATTTTCCACTTTATTAATCGCTCAATTTATTAAAGGAGTGTACTCAGCCAGCTGAAGGTACTCAGGAAACACCAGATCTCACGGATGGTGACAACATTACCTCTGAAAAGGAAACAGTACAACAGCAAATATGGTTTTGTCTTGCTTGTGGTAAACCTCATTGTGGTCGCTATGATAAAGAACATTCGAGTCAACATTTTAACAAAAATAAGGCACACACGATTGTAATGAAACTGGACACGTCCGAAACTTGGTGTGTGGGTTTTGTTCTAAAGTGAAAACACCTGTATCGATCATTAATTCTTTTTCTTAGTCATTGTTCTCATTTACCAATATTTTATAATACGATTTATTATAGGTGCTATTCATGTGATAGGTCGATAATTTCTTCTAATGGAAAAAATCAAGTTATCAATCAAGCACGAAACATTGTCTTAAAGTTTGTTAAATTGGATAATCACGTCAAAGGTTTGATTTATAATTAAATTTGCCCGTTCTATGAAGACATCCCTTACATATTGCATATTTATTTTTTCAGCCCCAGTTCATGTATCAAATGCATCTACCAAAAACGACATGAAAGCTCGCTACCAAACTGCCGCTCCCGGATTGGAAAACCTTGGCAACACTTGTTTTTTTAATTCATTTATGCAGGTGAATTATCTATTAAAAAATGAATTTATGTTCTGCGTGCATTTTATACGATAATTTCTAACATCATATTAAAAATTTAAGGTTGTGGTCGCGACTTCAATTTTACGTGATATCCTACAACCTGACAATCCATATCAAAAATTTCCTTTCATTAAAGCTGAACGGTGCCCTGCAGCTGAGGCTGAATATGTGGGTCCATTAACTGATGCGTTTAAAAAATTCTTGAAGGTCATGTGGACGCAACAAGGAGGAATTGTCAATCCTCGCGACTTGTTCACCGAAATAGCAAGGAAATGGAAGGAGTTTCGTGGGTGGAGACAACAAGATAGCCAAGAACTCATGCATTTAATGTTTGACAGTATTAAGGATGAAGAGTTTGAGGTAAGGAATGACATGACTTTGAGATATATATAAGTGGTAATGGATATCAATAAAATCGGTAGCTTCAATTTATAAAATTTACAATTATGATATTAAGTATATCATTATTGACATGTAAAATTAACATAAATGTTCGAAGGAAAGATCGCTAATGTCAGTTTAAATCGTTTCATTGTAGTTCATAAAAAAGATACAATCTCATGAAGATAAGGAAGAAGAGTCAGCAACGGAAGATAGAGAATGTATGCACTCTTTATTACTTATAAATATCAAGAAAAACAGTAGATTAACTTATTTTTCTTGAAAATTTAAGTGATCAAAGAGCAAGACGATTCTTCCAGTGAAAAATCTCTACAACAAAAGCCTGAATCTTTCATTGATGTTTGTTTCGAAGGAAGGCTAGTCAGTGTTATTGTTTGTGACACTTGCAACAATGTTAGTAACTTTACTGTCCTACTATTATTAATTGTGTAATTGAAGTTATTAATGTCATTTTGTCATCTATTAGGAATCTTATTCATATGAAAAGTTTTTGGACGTACCATTGCCGATACAATCTCCTTTCGGTGATGATCAAAATAAAGGATCTAAACAGGTTAGATAAATGCAAAATCTTAAGTTGAGAATACTTTTAACTAATTTTGTATAATATTTAGATGTCCTTAAGCGGCGTAGTAACAAAAACTATTAGTAATTCTATTAATTATTTATCGAGGAGTCGGAGTAATGACAACACATCTCCACAAGAGTCACCTACAGACGATTCTTCTCGAAGCGGTGATGACTCTAGCGATGATGGATTCGAAGGAAATGGTGAATTCAAAGATAGCAATAGGGACAATGATGCTGAAAATGGAATAGGAATTGCGAAAATTTCAAAAGATCGAAGGAAGCGAATAAAAATGCTTCTCAGGCAACCAACAAAGCCTGGTCGATCCACATCAAATTCAACCAGGGATATTACTCTCGTCGATTGTCTTGCAAGTTTCATGAAAGTCGAAACTTTGGATGGAGAAAATCAATTTCAATGTGAAAACTGCTGGAAATTAGAACACCCTTCTGAAGAACCAAGTAGTAATGGTACGAGTGGAGATTCTGTGTTTGAAGAACAATCGAATGACATTAGTGTTGGAAAGAATGACCAAGTTGAAAATCATGTAGAAACTCGTGATTTATTGAGAACACAGCTGGAAGACGACGATGAAGAAATTTATGCTGCAGTGGTGGATAACACAGGTTTTTCAGAAACTACACCTAATGACGTTGGCGATACAACAATGGTTGATGATTCACAACCATCAGAACCTGCACCAATGTCACTCTCTTCGGATGACCCGAATTCTTCATCAGAAACTACACCTGAGTCTTCATCTAATGCACTAATTGTTTATCCGGATAACCATCTATCATCGGAAACTACTCCCGAGTCTTCGTCCTCTGCACATACTATGATGAATGATACACCGCTATTGTCAGAAACTAATAACGATTTACAATTAGATGGTGAACGTTCTTCAGACATTAGTGAAGATTCAAATGACCAAACAGCTGATCAACCTAGTTCGACAAATTATGTTAATAATAACCCTGACTCGTTCTCTGTTGATAATATAATCTCATCCGCAATACCTTCATTCTCGAAACCTTTAAAGAAGGAATCACTGCCTCAGCTTCCAAAATACAGTTTTAGGAAGGCTTATAAACGTTATCTATTTGATTCTTTGCCCCCAGTGCTAGTTTTTACTTTGAAACGTTTCGAGAAAGTCGAGGGTCGATTTTACGGCATCACAAGAAAGATTGACGATTTTGTGGGTTTTGAAGAAGAAATTGACGTTCAGAATTTTATTGTTCCATCCGAAAATGAAGAAATGGAAGAGGAAGATGACGATAGTGGATCTGAATCTCCATCTGAATCACGTATCACTAAATATCGGCTTTATGGAGTCGTAGTACATTTAGGAAGTCTTTCTAATGGACACTACATTGCTTATGTTCTTTCAAGGAATATTGTTTCTATGAGAGAACAATATGGTGTGCCGTATTTATCCGACGATGGTTATAAAGAAGTCGAAAAGATAACAGAGACAGTGGGTGAAGGGCAAAGGCAATGGATTTATTGCAGTGATAGTTCAGTGCATGCGGTAAATGTTGAAGAAGTTCTTAAAAGTATGGCTTATCTTTTATTTTATGAGCAAGTTCAATAAGTCCTATGAATAGTAAAAATCATCGTTGATGTGAATATTGGTCTTTCATTATCAAAAATTAAATTGTTAACTAAAAAAACAATTTAACTTTTAAAATAAATTATTTGTCGATAAATATGTATCTTCCCCTTGAAATTTCAGATTACATCTTCATAATTCAATAGTTTATTTTTTAATCCTGATTATGCAAAGAAATCATGTTAATATATATATTATAAAGTGAAGAATTTATTATAGCGATAGCGATAGTAATACTTGATTTTTTTAAAATAACCTACTTTAATGTGCATAGCAATAGGTGTTAAAACCATAATCAAGTATATAATTACCGATAGCCATTCCACTTTAGCAACATTAATCATAAAAAATTAGGTCAACTCTATTATAAATTAGGCCAAACTTTGTTGTCGAACGGTTGATTTTTGAAAAGAAATTTAATCACGTGTAATATATAGTGATAGACAATTTTTTTTTTTTTGGTGTTAAGGGTGATAGACAAATTATAAGTTTATCTATATATATATTTTATAGTTAAGTTTTAATCTTTAAAAGGTTTTTTATTTAAGTTATATAAATATGGATATCTTTATGAATAATTTATATAGAAAGATATATATAATTACACATACATTTTTGTGTCTAATTTAAGAAACTTGTCTATATATTACTATATATGTTTTATATTAATGTTATATTTGCAAGTTAATTACAGGTTTTTTTATTTAAAACATCTTTAGAACAAATACATATTTAATGCATTTTGATATTTTTGAACCTAATTTATTTCTAACAGAAAACCTATTAAAGTTTTTTGTATTCTATAGCCAATCTAGTTTTATATAATACATAATAGTTTTTTTTTTAATTTTAGCAATCTTATTAAGAATCTTTTTAAAATTTTTATAAAAATTTATATTTTAAGTTTATAATTTGATATCTTTTAACTATTTTTATAAATATTTAAAAGCATTTTGTTATATTAGTTAAAAACTATGCTCAAATTTAGAAGTTGCATTAAATTAGTTTAAAAGATTAAATAAAAATAGTTTAGCTTATTACAAATAAATTTTTTATTAAGTTTAATTAATTTTTTTTATTTTTAAGTTTTTTTTTTACTATTATTATAAATTGCTATATACAAGATCTGAGTTTGTTATATTCTACCAAATTTAAATCTTATAATAAATCTGTAGATCTATTATACAGATATCTGATAAATAAAAGAGTTTTTATATAAGAAATTTGATAATCAGAAAGGTTTTTACAAAGGGGTATTATATTATTGTGAACACTTTTGGGATTACAGTTTTTCAAACTTGGGTAAGTAAATGTTGCACAAAATTTATGTCACATGTCAGATATATCACATAATACAACATACTAAAATTTTATGTGATTTTGTTAAAATATGCAAAATTTATATAAAAAAAACTGTATACTTGGTTTTCTTTATTAAAATAAAAATCCAAAATTTTACTTTTTTTTTTTGTTTTTTTTTTTACAAAAAATTTAATCTAATTTTATTTTAATATTTTATAAATCTTCTTTCAGCTTTTATACAAGTGGCAACTTAATCAGATATACTAGTAATTAACTATCAGATAAGTTTTAGTGATATATTATTCTACACCTTTTTTACAAGAACATCTAGCTCTTCAAGACTACTTGGTCTTGTCTTGCAATATATAATTTCAAAGTACAAGACATCAGTGACAAAGAATTTCAATGTAGTAAGAGGTTCAATCCCAAACTAGAAGAAGCAGTCCTAATGCATATAACCTAGGCTATGTTTTATAATACAACTAATACAATCAATATACTATTTTTTGTGTAGTTCATATTATACATAATCAGGAGAACCTTGAAAGAGATGAATAGTAGTTTTATTTGATCACAATACTCTTCTAAAATGAGCAACAGTTCAATCTTAATGCATAAGAGCCCATTTATATTTTTTTTTGCAGTTTGTATTAGAGATAATAGTTTTGCAAAAGTGATACAGAAGAACAAATTTAAGCTATTCAAGGCATAATGTATGATACTTTTGAAGACTTTAGTTAGATTTTGGCAGTTGTGATGATTGGTTATTTGAAGAATATTGAGACAGTAATTGCTGTTGATACCTAAGTTTTTTAGGTTTTTATGATCAGATAGAGTTAGGGTTTTGGGATAGTCAGGTCTTTTTTTTTTTTATGCTTCTGCATCCAATCTATTAAACTTTTTTATAATATTTCATACAACAGATTTGCTACAACTAACTGCAACTGCAATAGTATGAAGTAAATTTTCATATTAATAATTGTAAATTATTGCTCCTCTTTGACCTTCTGTTAAATTTTTCTTACTATTCATTTTTTTTAATAAAAAAAAATCAAAGAACATTTATTTTTTTTATTTATACTAATCTGTTATACATATATATCTTTTTTTATGCTACTAATGTTACCTAAATGTCTTACAATATTTAGATGAAATTTGATTTTTATCTTAATACAAAAAATAGTAGTTTGTTTCATCTTTTGTATAAATTCTGTACATTTTGATAAAATTGCATAAAATTTTAGTATATTGTACTGTATGATATATCTGATATATAATATAAATTTTATAAATGTTTACTTACTGAATTCAAGAAATTGTGGTTTCAAAAGTGTCCACAATAATATGATACCCTTCTGTATGAGTAGCAATATAGATTATAGAGCATTAAATTTTATGCCAAGTAGTTTCAATACTTTCATAAGTAGTACTATTGATAAAAGTTTTATATAATGAAAGTTGTTATCCAAATTAATAATTTAACTACTATTATAATTAGAATAACTTGCTAAACAGAATTTAATATTATAATATTATAATTTTTTTAATATATTTTTAAGATTAATATGTTTTTTAAATACAATTACAATATTTTATTCAATTACAATTTATTTAAAATTATTGTATTTAAAAAATTTAGTAATACATTTGTCTTAATTTAAAGAATATAATATAATTATTAATTTATTAAAATATTAAAAAAATATTTAAATTATTAATTTAAATAAATATTTTTAAAATATTTCAAAATATTTTGATTTTTTTTTAATTTTTTTTAATTTTTTTTAATATTTACTACATTTGAATACTAGTTAATTTGAACAATATACTAATTTTTAATTTTATAATATTATATCTATTTTATAATATATTGCATAATTTTTTATTATTTTATAAATATATACTTATATAATTTTTAAATTAATGCAAATTATTTTGTACTTATTATTTTTTAATAAAAATTTTTTAAATTTTGCTTAAGTATTTTTTGATATTAGCTTATTACTAAAATAAAAATTATATAAAGATTTAATAATTCAGTTATAATCTAATTTAATATTAGCAATTTATATTATTAGTATTCAAATATAACTATTTTACAAATAAAAAATTCTAAATATTTCTAGTCAAAAATGTTTAGTTTATATATCTTTAGCATAAAATTATGTTTAATTATATAATTTTACTAGGTTTGGGATCATATAAAGTTAGAGTAAGAATAAGTTTTATAAGTAAAATTGCTTTTCTGACATTTTTAATTAGTATTCCAAAATAGGTTACAATAATCATTTTTTGTATTTTTTATATTATTTACATTTTTTGCTCTTTTGTTATTGTTTTTGTTTTAATGAACTAATTCAAAATAATTATTCTTCATGTCATCTTTGTGTTACACAAAAGTGACCATTATATGATTTTTGTCTTTTAATTAGCTATTAAGTCTGAAATATTATTATTATATATCTTTAGCTACATTACTCTCCTCGACGATCACTTGTACTGAATTTCACACTAACAAAAACGGAAAACTTATTGGAGAAAGTAGAAGAGGCTACTATACAAATAACGGTTTTTATAAAGGTCAAAGTGG